TACAATCTTCACATGCCAAATCTCCATATCTGTAACACAAATGATTGAAGAACATAAAGCTCTAAAAAGTCACTAATCTTTATAAGTGCTTCCCAAACTTGTTTTGGGAGAAATCACGAAATGCAATTGGAAGGAAACTTTAAATGAATATGTAACAATCATGACTCTTCATCCTGTTAACTTTCACCACTTACATATTCACACATCGAGAGATGTTAGATGCAGAACCATTAGGAAATCTAAGATTCTTTAGCCATTGGCAGACCAATTTTCTCTATTCCCTATTTAAGACATAAGTGGTTTTTGATTTTTTACCTACATTAGAGCATTTTTCTAGTGTACAAAGATTTGGCCTATTGCAATACAATTCCATATCCATCCTTGCCTTCAAGTTGTCTTTCGTCAATGGGTTATCCATGATGGTGTGAAAGATTTTATCAAAAAAGTTTTTCTCACAGTGCATTGCATCTAGGTTATGACAGATTAAATTTGTGCTCCAATAAGGAAGCTCCCAAGAGGCACTTTTTTTTAACCCAGTTATGCCAATTACCAAATCCTTCGATCGCCTGCCTTTAGGATGGCTTCCCAAATAATATATCGAGCAATTGCTGAATTTTTTGAAACATATCATCATCCCACAATCTCTCTAGTGGGGCAAGATTCTTTACATGACATTTTTTAAAATCATTCCTATTTCCCTTGAATGGATGATCAAGGGGGGTAAAAATTGTCGGTGACAATGAAAAAATGATATCTTTCGACTGTTTGGGAGGTGGAATGCCTTAGAATTTTCTTGACAATATGGACATAACAATCTACCATGTGTGCTCCATCCAGATAACATGCCTTATCTAGGGAAGTCACTAATTATCCACAAAAGTGTTACTCTCAAAATAAAATGTTGATACCTAAAGCTATCATATGTCCTAACCCCATTATACCAAAGTTCCTTTAATTCATCAATTAGTGGGTGTAACATGACATCAATGTTTTCTCCTAAACTATGAGGGCCTTGTATTATTAGGGAAGGAAAAATGGACTCTTGTTTCATACACATTGATGGAGGTAAGTTGTAAATAGTAAAAAATACAGACCAACATGAGTACAAGGCTGTTGTATGTCTAAATAGAGTGAACCCATCTGTGAACAGTCTAAGCGTTACATTCTTTAGATCTGACCCAAAGTCAAGGTAGGTGCGATCAAAGTATTTCCATGCCTTAGCACTGGCAAGAGGCACAATCTTTTTAGATTCACCACCACAAGTAAGGTGCCATGTCATGTGCTCAACAATTTTTCTACACATGTACAACCTTTTCAATCTAGGTGTAATTGGGAGGTAACATAATGACTTGGTATATGTTGGTTTTGTTGCACATATCCCTGCTTATAACAAGGTTCACCACATATTGGACATGTGATGTTGTTTTTGTTTTCATATTCACCGTAATACAAGAAACAATTATTTACACAAACATCATACTTCTTATAACCTAGACTAAAGCACCTCATCATATTTCTAATGCTAAAAAAATCTTTTGGAATCTTATCCCAATCCTCTAGCTTAATCCATCTCTTACTGCACTTTAACATATAATCCCAATTAGCCATAGTCATATTATAAAGTGTCTTTGCATTCATAAAAAGAGACACCCATTTGAGTATTGTATCACCCGCATCACATCCACCATAAAGTAGCGTGTTAGCAGGTTGCAAAATATCAAAATATTCCTTTGCATCTCTCATTGCCTCCTCAAACATTGGCTCCTCATTGGCTTGTTCATTTATATTATATTCTATATCATGTGAACTCATTGCATCCATAACTATCTTTCTGATTGGATTATTATCTTGTTTTTTTATCACAAAAGGAGTTGCACTTGAAGATTCCCCCTATTGATGATGTTGTCGCTTTTACACTAATTGCTCTCCATGTACAATCCAGACTAGATACTCATTTAAAAAACCTTTTTCTATCAAATGACTATACACAGTAACACGACAAATGCCATTCTTGGTTTATACATTTCCTACATGGACACCTAATGCAATTTTTATTACAAAATTCTAGATTGGACTGGGAAAATGCATAGTCTAAAAAGGACTCCACGCCAATTTTGAATTCATAAATAAAATGGCCATTATCATCTAAAGGATGATAAATCCAATGTCAATCTCCTACCATGTGAAATATTTTTTTAAATTTTTATTACAAAAATTTATATCCCCACACAAATAATGCATTACATTTGATAATTTGGTAAGCATATTTTATAAACTAAAATTAAAAATTAATATAATCAGTGTAATCATAAATTACCAGTTAATAACTAATCAATATGATCATAATTTACTAATTAATATAATCATAATTTACAAATCAATTAGTTAATATAATAATAATTTATCAATCAATTAAACAATTTAATCATAATTTACTAATTAATTAATTAAAATAATTATAATTTATCAATCAATTAAATAATATAATCATAATTTACCAATCAACCAATTAATCAATATAATCATAATTTACCAATCAATAATTAATATT